GACCCAGCATACACAAGCGCGGGGGGGGGGGGGGGGGGGGAAGAGATGGAATTGAGTTTCTTTTTTGTCTGCCTACTGAAGCCTTGATGTAACGCTGCCTGCCCAGATCCGCAGCCTGAAACTAGAGCTCCTGGGGCCCCTCTGCATGGCCAGGCTGATGCACGCTACCCGATAAGACCCAGTCTCCTCCAGCACTGCAGGATACGGGACCAGGCTGTTCCAAACCCGTGCCCCAGCTATGCTACAGGTCTGACACAGGCCTCCTGCAGTGGGGTTTCTAACAAGGTTGGTTCTTGCCTGTGCAGGCACGTTGTAACCTGGGGCCTATGCAAGGTCAGTGCAGCAGAGCAGACGGGTCCCCAGACAGCTACAAACCCAGACATGCATTTACACAGGCACGTGCAAGCCCCGTTCCCTGGGGGAGTCTGTCATTCCTGAACTAGGCTCCCTTTTGTGCTGGCAGGTTTGGGACCATTCATCTCCTTCAGGCAGATGCTTCAGCAGGGAGATCTGCACTCCTGCCACAAAGGGCCTCTGTCCTACGGGCAGAGCGGGGCTGTGCTTCTGGAGCTGCCCTCTCCTCCTGGCTCTCCCCAGTGCCTCTCTCACCTGGGCATTGCCTGCTCTTCCTATGGCTGCTGGCTGAGCCTCCAGTCGAGCCATCTCTGGGTGCTGTGCGAGGCCCTAGCCTTGGCCAGGAACAAGGAGGATTGACTGGGAGCCAGAGATTGTCTGTACGACATCTCCCCGGCAGCTGGCAAAGGGGCTGCTCATTGTCTGAGTCTCCAAAGCTCTACCAGCTCCAGCAAGTCTGGATCCCCAGTTGGGCTCCTTCCCTGTGTCCCAGACCCATAGACTGCACCTTCTTGGCTTGTCACTGTATCTCTCCTCCGCTACAGCCTGTCGCTAGGATCCTCTGCCAGACAGACATGGCCACGTCCCCTCCACTGCATGCCAGCCCTGGGAACCTCATGTACCAAAACACAGCTTAGTCCCTTTCCTACAACTCTGTGGGGGCTGGCACAAACCCCTGACACCAAGACACATCTCAATTAATTCAGTATGTGGCTGAAAGTGCCATGGCTACGTGATAATGCTCTCTGTGGGCCTGGTTCATCCGAAGAGCTCCCAGCCTTCCCATCCCAGCTCCACACGGAGGAGGGAACTCCCTCCCAGCTGGGAGGGAACTTGCCAGCGAGACTGTCCTTGCTGTGACCTCGGAGGGTAGAAAGGGGGGAGACAGAGATGAGACATTCCAGCCCCTCGCTTCTAATTTAATAAAACAACACAGAGGAGAGCAGGGAGGAGAGGGATTTAACCCCTTACGCAGCTGGGGAGCAGGCTGAGCTGGTGGGCTCTGCTGGGTGAGCATTTATATTTCATGCCAACTCATCAGGAATCATAAACGGCTCCTCCTGGGCCTGCACACTTTTTCCACACACAGGCCATAAGCTGGCAAGGACTCGAGCCAAATACTCGTTTTCTGCTCTTCTGGTGACCTGGTAGGGCCCTGCTCCCGCCGACCCCTGTGGTCCCCACGGAAAGCCCTGTTTCCAGCCCTCCCGCCTTCACCTGCAGGTCTGTCTTCATGAGCGAAGCCCCAGCCTCCACAATGTAGTGGCAGATAGTGCGCTGGCGTAAGGTTGCAGCCTGGTGCAAACTGGTTTCGCCACTGAGGAGAAGAAAGCAGGAGACATGAGACGTCCCCACCCCAAACATGCTGAGCGGGGACAAGCAGCAGGCACAGAAACAGCAGCAAGAGACTACCCTAGGCCTGCTGAAAGAGCTCACAGTGGGCCGCAACTTGTCTGGCAAAACCTGCTCCCAGCCCAGATAGCCTTGAACTGAGAAGGGGGGATGCTACTCCAGGGTTACTTATTCCAAGAATGGACAGGAAATCATGGCTGATAATTAGAGCAAGGGCAACTGTGTACAAGACGGGCTGACAAGACTGGTCATCTCACAGATGGTCTGGTCAACAGATAATACAAATCACTCAACCACTTACTACTTTTCTTCTGTGGCATCCAGGATATCTGAAGGGGCTGCGGAGAGAAACACAATGCAGGGCAAGTGTGACCAGGCTGCAGGACAGAGATGGACCCACCTATTCCCCAGTAACATAAAGTATCTTTCCGTAGGGGCTGCTATTTCCATGCTGCCTGCAGAGGTCTCATCTCCCAACCAAAGCATTCAAGATAACAACTGCATCTACCTCTCACCACCGATTGAGATCAGGGAAGAAGAGTTGCTTGTGGACACCATTACAAAGAAATATCTGAATAAAAACAAAGCAGCCTGCATTTCAGTGAAAGCTGCCAAGAACAGCAGGTCAGCTCTCCTGAAGGTAGAAGCAGGATGCTAAAAGATGTTTCCCAGAGATGTGCTGGTCCCAGCAGGGATGTGGCAACACTTGCGGGGGCATCCCAATACCAGCAGAGAGACACTAGGGAAAGCCCATGCCATAGAGGGAGGATGTAACGAACCCAGAGAGAAGGGGTTCTGCCCTCAAGAGCATCCCCTCTGAGCAGAGGGTCAGGCTCTGTTACCAGTCTCTCTTGCCAAGGGGGGGCACTTTGCTGACCGCAGGATGGCCCCAGCTTACCGTTCTCAATGATGTATTTCACAATATCCTTGCTCCCTGATTTGACGGCATGGTGGAGGACGGTCTGGCCTGAGGAGTCTCGCACCATCAGGTCTCTTCCAGCCCGGTGCAGCTCCTGGAACTATAGGATTGCCAAAAAGCTCCAGATGAGCTTCCTTTCTCAGCTCGCCTCCAAACCCCAAGCCCCTTGTCTTGCATCTCCAGGGCCCCCAGCAGGAGGGGGAACTATGTCCAGCTCAGCCACGCTGCCAAGCCCCTTCCCTCCCCATCTGCCTGGCAAGTAACGGGGCTTCTTGCCAGGAGCCTGCTTAGTTTCCAGCCACCACTCCCAGTTAGGGTGCTGCCTGAAGGAAGGACCTCAACAGGAGTTGCTCAAGGGCAACAGCGGAGTTCAGGTGGCAGGGCTTACCACAGCCCTGAGGGGCATAGGAACCAGGAAGCCTGCTGGACGAGTCCAGCCCAGCCTGCAGCTCGGGCTGCATGTCACAGCACACAGTAGGAGCGCTTACCTGGCTGAAGTTGCCACTCTTGGCAGCTTCTATCAGAAGGTCATCTGCAAAGAAGGGAGATGGGTCAGGGTCAGAAAAGCCAAGCTGTAGTGCTGTTTGTCTAACTGGGATCCAAAAGTTGGGCACTGGGGGACTCAAAGCAGTCAGCTGAGGCTACCAGATGAACTCCTCCAGGAGCTACCCCTGTGGTCTCAGGGCAAACAGCAGCCAGGCTGGTTCTACATGGCTCCTTCAGCCATGTGAGGGACAAGCCATGGGGAAGGAAGGAGACACCCACGTATCTGGGGTTGCAGCCAGGCCTCAGTCCCGGCGAAGCGTGTGTGTGCAAGAGGGGGTGCCCCTATCCCAGGAAGGACGACTGGTGATGGAAGTGGGGAGCAGATCCCCAGGGAGTCAGTCAGCAGCCAAGAGGCCTCTCACCAGTGACTCACTCACACTTCCAGGCACTGGGCTCTGCTCAAGCTCCAGGAAACTCTTTCCATTTGCTCAGCTCAGAGAGGCCCCTGACCTTGTGCTCTCACCTCCTGAGTTCCTGCTGGGGCCTGGCAGTAACACCTTTCCCCCCCGCGCCAGCCCAGCCAACAACACATGGCTCTGCAGGTGGGGGATTAACCCCTCTGCCATGTCATTTCCTGCCCTCCCCACACGGCACTGCAAAACGGGGAAAGCACCTTGATGGACTGGTCTGCAAATGAGAGTCACATCTCTCCTTGCCCACCTCCAGGGTCACCCTGACCTCCGAGACTCTGCGCTCCCACCTAGCACACCAGCAGCAGGGCCTGGAAAACCTTGCTCCATTCCTGGGCCACATCTCAGAGACAGGACAGGCAAAAAAAATGGTGGGGACCCAAAATAACTTGACCCGAACAGATGCACAACAGCTTGGGAGCCCTGCTAGATGCCTGCAGTGAGGACAGAAGAACTCACCTTTATGAGGGAGGCAGAGCCCAGCCTCAGCACTGGAAGGGAAAAAGAAAAGGCATCACTAACCCTACTAGCACATCCCCCAAAATGGCACACAGTGGGAAAAGGAATGGCTCTGGAGAGGCCTACCTGTGGCCCTCTTCCAGCAGGCTGAAAGAAAGGCAGGCCAAGGACCTAGCCACCCTTTGGCTATGCCATCTGCTTTTTCTCCTGATCAGGGTTCTTTCTCCTCCTCGTTCCCATTTCTACTTCTGTTCTGAGCTCCGGTGCTCACCCATACCCAAGGCTGGCATGATTTGGGCCTACAGAGACCTTTGCCCTGTGGATCAAGCTTTGGAGCTTGATCCCATGTCTGAGTCACCTGGTGATGCTCTACTACTATCAGCAGAGCTGGCAGGGAGCAGAGTAGACAGGGAGGCATCTGATCCCTGGTCTAACTTGCCAGTGAAATCTTGCTCGCTTCCTGGGAGCTCCTCCGTAATCTGTCCCGGGAATTGCAGCTGCGAAGCCAACCCCAGCTCTCTCATTCCTGTCCTCTCCACCCCTCTTGACGCCCAGCACCCCATTATCTGCCACTCCAGACCACAGCATGCAGTCTCACCTGGGGGCAGGAGAGGAGGGTGGAGAAGAGGAAGAGGATGGGAATGTAAAATGGTGCCCAGTGGGAGCGGAGGATGAGTCAACAAGGTCAGGCATGGCAGGAGAGGTGCCCACAGTCTGGGTGATCACCAGCTCTGGGTCCAGCACATAGAGCTCGTCCTGAGAGATCTCTGTCACATAGTTGAGGTGCTCCTGAAAGGCACAAGTCAGCCACTTCAGAAGCAAGATCTACTTCTGTATAGCTCTGTCTCCCATCCCCGCAATTTTCTGTGCCTTGAAGCCCACCCACTAACTCAGCAGAGTGATGGTGGCTCAGAGAGTGGTGGGCCCTGCACCTGGGAAGCCTCCATCAACAGCAATAAAGCTGATGTGAAGCTGAGAGGAAGAAGCATGGTGTGGAGCCTTGCAGAGCCAGAGGTGGAGAAAGGAAGGGAGCTGGATCCCACCTCATCCATCCCCAGGAAACTTGTCATCACCAGTGTCCCTCCACCAGCTTCCAAGGTCGTGGTCAGGCATGCCTTCGCTATATCATTCTTCCCCAGTCTTCACTCCTGGGCTGGCACAAATCCCACCCCTGCTCCTCATCAGGACCTTGGTTCCTCACCAAATTCCTGCCACGGCCCAAAGCTCGCCCTAATGATACTTGGAAACTAATCACCACTTGGCCATGTTGAAAGGAGACCACTTCTGCATCCTTGCCCCCTGCCTTGGGCAGGCCTCTGCAGGCACCTTCCAACCCAAGCCCCTGTGCTCCCACCTACTCTCTCTGCCTTTTCAGAGGGGACCGGCAGGTGCTAGGGCAGTTCCTCGGCTAGGTAGCACACTGCCTGCCACACCACTCTCAGGGACTCCCCCATCTCCACAGGGCAGGGCTGCAGCAAGGCAATGCACGTCCTCCTGCCCCAGAGCTGAGGGGAGCACTTAGGAGGCGGGGCAGCGTGGGGTGTGAGACCTGCGCGTCCTTGTGGCTGAGCCAACCTGTCAAGTCTGTCCTATCAGGACACGCAGAAGAAGCTGGGCAGAGGGGAGGACACCACAGACGGAGGATGAAGCCGCACTCACCTGTGCACGGTCTATCCTATAAAAACGATCAGCTGTGGTTGCTGTAAGAGAGAGAGAGAGAGAGAGAGAGATAGACATAGTGATTCTTGTGCGGGATGAAGAAAACGGCCACTTTCCACCACTGAGCGGTAGTATTCAATCATTTCTCGTCCTGCATGAAGGGCACAGGAAAGCAAACAGCAATCTCCTGACCAGGAACAGCCCCCTGATGTCCACAGGGCGTCTGCTAGGACCCTGCTGTTCTCTTTGCCTGAGAGGCAGCCCCTGGTGCCTACAGATCACCATACCCCCGTGCAACATGCCTTTGCTTTACATCTTCTCTTCAGTGACTCCCAGCAACAGCCATAACCTATGGGGAAGAACAGAACTAGCTAATGCCATGGCCTTTCTGGGGACTTTCAAGTGTTTTGGTGTTGCAACTGCAACACCACATTACCCAGAAGAGATCAAGCTCAGGGCCGCACGCTGCACATCTCAGGATTTGCTTAGGCTGGGTGAGCAACTACTCTGATTCAACATGATGCACTTTATTAGAGAGCGCAGAGAAACGGGAGCATTAAGTGAGGCTGGGAGAATGGGGAGCTCAGCCTCTCTTCGCTCTGACTTTACTTAGTAACACCCCAACAGACCACCAAGAGGCCATGTCAGAGCTTACGACTGCCAGTCACAACAGAGCACACAATTTCCAGCCGTAGATCCAAGTTCCTGTTTCCTAGGATGGCAGGAGAGCTTCAAACTAGCCTCCAGCCTGTTGTTCGCAGCCCTCTGTCCAGGTGCATCCCTCCACTCATCCCTCTTCCTAAGAGGGGAAATCACCACAACAGGAGAGGAACTCCTCCAACAACGATGAGGCAAGTGGCTGTGCTGGAGCCAGACCCATGCAGCTAACACTCCCGGGGGAGCAGGGAGGGTGTGGGGACTTACCAGTGTTACCCAGGGAGGACAGGACAAGTAAAGGCAGAGTGGCAGGACAAACAGGCCCCCAGGCATGGTGGCATTTCTCCTGTGCTGCTGCTGCCTACCCCAAGCAGGCTCCAGAGGGATCCTTGGGGGTCTGAGGAATTCTCTCCACGAACAGAATGGGGATGGGTATGACACAAGCCAGAGCAGATCAGAGGAGTGACAGAGCCCCGTTTATTCTGGAGATTTTTCAACCACGGAGATGCTGATGAAGGCCTGTAATTCAGCCACTTTAATGAGCCCACACTATCTCGAACAAGGCTCTGGCCTCTTTCCTGACACATTTTCCTGAGCTCACAACCTGCTACTGAGAGACTGGCATGAGGAGGGAAAAGTCCTGGTAGTAACACCTGGGAGCAGCAATCCCAACAGCTCCATATGCAGGGCTGAAGGCCTGAAGCAGAAGCTGCACCTTTTCTGCCTGACCCAAGGCTTGTGAGGCCTACTTTGCAGCCCACGGCTGTGCCTGGCTTCCCTCCCACAGGGTACCAACACACGTCTGAGACCTGGGGTCTCAGGGGAAATGCAGCATCTCTCTTGAGGTGAGGAGAAAGGTCAGTTTTCCCTGCTGACTTGCTATGATCCCTGCATCATAAGCCTTGTGCCCAAAAAGGCCTTAAGCTGAACAGCAGTGGCTGTCAGCTACAAAGAGGGGCCTGCTCAGTACAGCGCCCCTTCCTCCTCTCTCAGGTGCTCATGCAGGTTCGGGGACTTGCTCCAGTATTGTTAAGAGGGCACAAAAACCTGCACTGACCTGGGCTCTGGGGAAATCCCAGGGAACCGCTCAGATCAGTGGAAAAAAAAAAGACACCTGAAATAAGCCTCAGTAAGAACAGCAGTGCAGCCTGGAGGCTTTGGGAACAAGGTGATGGCCATTTGGACAGAAAAAGGAGCAGGGTCTGAGAAATGGGACTAGAAGAAAGCTGAGTTTGTAAAAAAGTCCCTGTGCCTTGCTGCGTGGGTGAGGTCTCCTGTAATTTGGGCTAGCTGTGCCACAGCCTCAGCCCCACAGCCGTTGCCTGTGCACAGCTGACACCTGAACCAGGTGCACAAGAGGCCTGTGTTGTGCATGACAGCATCTCCTGGGGGAGAAGGCTACCATGTAATAGTCTTCCCCCACCCTAGGTCCTCTCCCTTGGACCTACTCTTAGCCCAGGCTAGGGCTGGCTCTGGCTTTTGGCTTTCTCCTTGGCCTTCCATTAGCCCTCCTGCACACAGGGGCTGGGATCCTGTGTGCTGCTCTCCAAACACACGGAAGAAGGTTAGCTCTGTCCTGCTATAAGCCCTGTTACTGGAGTTAGGAAACTTCTCTTGCAAGTCTGGGGGATGAACTGTCACCAGCAACCACTTCTCTTGGTTGGCTTCCAGGTACAGAGAGAGAGCTCTGCATCCTCCTGGTGAGGGAAGGCAAAGTTAAGAGGAGAAAGTTGCTTCTAGGAGGGGAGGAAAAGCGGAGTGCCTTCTCCAGGCAGGCTGAGTCTGGCTGGGGGCCTCTTCCCCCATATCACTGGGATCCACCCTGGAGGCTTTCGTTAAGCCTTGCTCCCAGAATGCTGGAGCATGGGGGCCCCCTGCCTGTATGATACAGGACAGCAACCAGACTACTCCAAAGAGCCTGGACAAAGCAGAGCTCACCTGGCAGGCTCCTTGCTCTACTCACGGCCCGGCCCGTAAGCAGAAGAACAGCTAGTGCCTGGGACAAAGAACTGCTGAGCTTGCTGCAGAGATCCCGAACATCCCTGAGTCCCAAGTCTCAAATGGTTCTCAGTGGCTTTTTGCTATAGGTCTATCCCCTTGCCCCCAAATTCACACACAGTCAGCACTCCAGGGGAAAATGATACTCACAGTCCAGGAAGCACCACTTGGGGGACAGCTTCTGGGATGACAGAGTCTTTGGTTTGGCTCCATCCCCTTCCTGCACAAAGGGCAATAAAGTTATGTCTCTTGGCTTCCCTGCCTCTCCCCAGGCTGTCCCTCCTGCTTTGGGAGGTCCCTGCAGACTCTGCGGGCTGCAGGTGCTTGGACAGAAAGAGGAACTTTGAACACAGGCATAGCGTATGGGGACAAGGAGCGGCACGGGACAGATCTGAGCTGACACACACCAACTCATTGGAGAGGTGCCACAAGACGAGCCCACGAGACCAGCATGGTGCACATGACAGACGGGCCTGGGGGAGGGAGAGAGGCCATACACACCTGAAAGAGCAGGCGCTGTAAAGCAGAGGGCTGTGGAGGGAAATCCTGCAGAAAGGCAAGGTGTGCCGTTACAGTGTTTGTTTGGGTGACCCCTTCCCTCTTCAGTTCGTAGGGGTTTCCTCTGTCCCCCTACAGTAGATATGGCAGGCAGCTCCCTGGCTTTACGTGCTGCCAGGCCGAGGTTCCAACCCTGCCTCGCTCTGGGGCCAGAGCGCAGCCTTTGCTCAAGGAGAGAGAAGAAGTGAAACGCGAGGTAACCAAGGCACACCAATCTCAATGTGCAGCTTTACAGGCATTTACCAGGTTGATGCCATACCAAAAAAAAAAAAAAACACTACCCTCTGAGCCCAGGAGCCTCCTAGCCTCATGCCTGGCTATGTCTCCCCACGAGCGCCGTGGCCACACGGGAGGCAGAAGACAGGAAAGCAGAGCAGGCAGAGCGAGGCGCAGGTGCCAGTGAGCTGGCCTGGGCAAGCAACTCTGTAACTCAGCCCTGCAGGATGCTGCACGTGTGCTGGATGTGATTTCCTCAGCCTCCAGAGCCAGTCAGCTGTGGGCTGGGCAAGGTCCCTTAAATCTTCTGAGACAAGAACAGTTTGTGCAGCAGGGCATACTGTGGGCTCAAAAGGTACTGCTCACCTGGGGCTAGCATTACACAGTCCATGTCCGGGTTGAGGACACGCACTACACTAGTACCTTGGCAGGAGCACAAAAATTTGTACTTGCAAATGAAAAAAGAGTTGGAGGTGGGGAATAGCTCTAATCGGGCACCCCGGGAGGGGCAGAGCAGCGGTGACAGGAAACACAAAGCCCACAGAGGGCTGAAGGATGCACGGTACAGCAAACAAACGGAAACGCCTCCCCAAACACGCGGGATGGGACAGGCCCTTGTGGGATGGGTACTGGTTCTTTTACTGCCTCGTAACTTTTCTGGGCCAAGGGTACAGGATGAGAAGAGCAATGCTGAGAAAGAAGCTGCCACACAGAGGGAGATCAACAGGCCATCCAGCCTGGGACCTTGCCTCTACCATGTGTTAAAGGCAAATTGTGAAGTGCTACCAGAAGCAGGAGCACGTGTGGGTGTATGCAGGTCATGGGGGTCTAGAAATCCCTTCCCTGAGCCTCTTCATCCTTGGCATCCAGCTGTGACCACTTCCCATGTGGCACCTCACCTCCTGCAGCCTCTCAATTTGGGTCCGGCACAACTCCAGGTCACTGTCTCCTGGAACCACAATGATCCCCAGTGGCACAGCTGTAGGACAGGGCACAAACACAACTTAGTGAGCAGCCCATGACTGAGCTCCAACACCTCACGCAGCTTAGCTGCGAGCACTGCTGGAGTTACTGACAGTGACTCCCACCCCCTGGCTACTCAGCTGGTCACTCACAGGCTTCCTTGAGCTTTTCCTTATCGTAGTGCAGTGCCTCATAGTCGTGCATGCTGATTCGGCTCACACGGATTCGCAGTCGCTCAGGCACTGGCTGCTGGCTGCACAAAGGGGGAAAGGAAAAGGGAAGGTATCAGAAAGTGACAGTCTGCTCTCTCCCTGTCATCCTCCTTCCTGCAAAGGGAGCAAGGCAAGATCACAGACCGATGTGAGGAGCTGCCATCTGCAGCTTCTTCAGCATCAGAGTTTGGCCACATTTCTGTGGCCTGATCCCTTCCCAACCTCTCCCTGGGAGGATCAAAATTCCTCTGGGAGAGATGGATTAGTCCTGCCCCTTCCCCCTCCATCCCTTATGCTTTGGAAAGGAGGTGATGGATTGATCTGAGGAACCTACTCATTGAGCAGAGGCATGGAGTTGCGCCGTTTGGTCTTCTGCACCATGTTGGCCTGGTTGCGCAGGGAAATGTGGATGCAGGAAGCTGCCAGCTTGCAGGGCTCCCCGTCTACCTGCATGGGGATGGCCTTGGATGTGGTGAGAACCACCTGCCGGCACTGGCACAGCCGCTCCCCATGGCCACCCACCTGCAAGGCAGCCTGTAAAAGGGACCAGAGTGAGAGCAGAGCACAGAGGAGTAGACGGGGAGAACACCCAGTGTCAGCCAGATGTCTCAAGTGAGCCGAGTCCTCAGGGTCTCAAGCCTGTTCTCAGTGGGAGGGGATCCACAGAGACTAGTGCACAATAGCACCTTGTTTCAAGTTTTAGAGAGCAGATACTGTCAGATAGGCCTGCACCATAATTCCTCCGTAGAGGAGCTGCGGACCAGGCGCGCTAGCTGACTCCTGGGCAATGGGAATGAGCGTTCCCTTGGTTGCTAGCTACCACCAGCGACAGCACCAACTCACCAGGGATGTCATGGTGAAGCCAATGACTTCAATGCAGCCGTCGTCATGGCGCTGCGGCTCGAAGTCGTGGTGCTCCCCAGGGTTGCCCCAGGGCATAGTGCCTGCACAGTATCTGTGGAGAAACAGTGGGTGAGGGGCATGGACAGCCCCTGCCTCCGAGTCCTATGGAGATCTTGTGGATGGGGGTGAAGAGCCCAGCACAAGAGAGCAGGTCCTGGGGCTGCTCACCTGGGAATGTTGAGGAAGACCAGGCATTGGGGCTTCAGGTCCTGGATCTTGGAGGTCAGGTCTGTCCCATCACACTGAAGACAACACAGGAGCGTTCAGGCTGCTGTAATGGGGGGGCCTGGCCCACCCCACCCACCTGGGAGGAAACGGCCTTCCCTTTTGCTCCTCAAGGTATCTGTCCTCCAAGCCAAGGGAAGCCAGTGCCTCAAGGAACCCATCCTCCCCACCAGCCCCGAGATATTCAGCATGCCGAGAGGGACAACTCTCCTTCCCTGCTCCACAGTGCGCCCCCCTCCCTGGGCCAGAGCACTGCTGCATACTCACAACCAATTTGACGTGCTTCGCTAAATCTTTGGAGCTCCCCATGAGGAAGTCAGAGAAAGCCGTCTGCCAAAGAAAGAGATAACATTTGCATTCAGATATCCACCTAAACAGACAGCCAGGAAGATTGCCATACAAACTTTTAGACCTCAGGTGCCGAGAAGGGCAAATCACTTCCCTGTCCACTGGTAGAAGCCCTCTTCTCTCCCCCTCCCAAAACAACCTGATCAATTCCCCTTGCCATTTGGCCCACCAAAAACCTTGGGTCACCTCACAACTCCAATAACGCAGCCCAGTAACTCCTCGCCAGCCCAGTCCCGGCTTTAGGGAAGAGCTGGCAAGGCAGGCCTCCTCCAGTAAGAGACTGGAGTCACAAGAGAGAAGTTCACTCTCAAGCTGTAAGGAAATACAATAAAAAAGAACTGATGGGACTTCATTTAGAGATGCCAGGAGAGATTGTATGGCCTACGTTACACACATCCTAGGGTCTGTCCCCTCTGGGTTCAACTGCACAGAGGGGAGGGGAGACACAGACAGGAGAGATGCAAAGTGATACAGAGCAGCACTTGTCCTTGAAGACAGCACAAATACTGGTCACTCAGACATCAGGGTGTGTGGGGGGCGGGGGTGGAGGGGTGTGTGTGTGTGGACACCAAGACACAAAGCTCTGGAAGTGAGATGCAGGAGGCTTGGCATAATTAGCCAGGGAGTTGTAATTGGCCTGAGGTGTAAAATAAAAGAGCAAAGCAATTTGGGAACTATGTATACAGAGGCTTCCCGTTCCACAGCAGGAGGGACACCTGCCTCCCCACAGCTCCAGGGAGGTCCTGCCTGGGTGACTGTCCATGAGCCTGAGAACAAGAACAATAGTGGAAGGAGATCAAGAGAGCAACTGTACTGCAGGCCAGAGAGCAAGCTGTACCACCAGCAGCATTCATAGCCAAAAAGGAGCTGCAACTGCCAGTGCTGTAGCCTTTCTGCAGCACCTCACCAGCTTCAGTGGGATGGTTCAGCGCGGGTGCATGCAAAAGCCTATGTAACTCAGATGAGTGACTTAAGGGTGTAGACAGGAACTGGAGCCACACTTGCGTGTTTAAGCTAAGGCTATTATGAAGGCATGCCCAGCCCCTCAGCACTCAGATATTCTCCATGTACTCACCCCAGCATAGAACATTTTATTCCGAAACCGGCTGTTGAATTTCTCTGGATTTGCCTCTAGGGAGAGGAGAAAAAAGTCCAGGTTATTGGTCTGCATATGGAAACACTTCACTTTCCGGCTCTCCCCTGAATTGGGCTCTCCAGTCAGCATCAGCCAGAACATAGGCCCCAGGTCACTTCCCTTGCAGAAACCCCTGTCCCCTCTCCAAACCCTCCACTTCCTCCTCAGATTTCACCTTTGGCCATGTCCCTGGGTCAGCCCTTTTTATCTGCTTTCCTGTGGCTGAGGAGCATTTTACTGGCCCACCTCTGTGGCATCCCATCACCGTAGGTTCTGCCTTCGTCCTGCCACCCCCACTGCATACCTCGGGACTCGTGAAACTCCAGCGTCACCCGTGCGTCAAAGCCAAGGCTGAAGTAGTTATTAAAAACATCCAAGGGAAGCTGAAATGAAAAGGAGGGGTAAGACTGGGAACCTGGTGCTTACAGGATGAGGTTGCCAGTGTGCAGCCATGGCAAAGGAGAGGTCGTGTTATAGCAGAGCCAAGTACTGCACTCATGAGGCTGAGGGAGCGAGGGCCTGCCTTCTCCCCAAGGAAGGCAGCCTGAAATGACAGACTACCCCTTTTCTGTCACTCTGAGCTCAGTGGCTTTGTGGAAGCTGCATAAGCCCGAGCGCAGGACATGGAACATCCAGACATAGGGATCACACAGAATATGGGAGTGCAGCATCCCACTCACCCTCTGCTCGGCAGAAGTGCAGCAGATAACCATTGAGGGCATTGGAGCCCCAGGCAGCCTGCCCAGGTGAAGAGCACTCTAGGGGGACACGCTCTCCTGCCTGAGATACTTTCAGCTATCCGTGTTTCTGCTGAAGAAACAGTTTTGGGAGGGAACTGGGCTTATGACTGCTGCAAGTTGTCATTAAAAATCCCTTTGGATGTTCAGTTCTCATCATTACATGCCTTTCCCAATGATGGCAAAGGGGATGAGAGCCATGAGGAGAGAATTGGAATTGGAGCAGGGAGAGGGAAATGACAACCCACTGCTGTACCTTAGATGCTGGGGCTACCTGAGCCTGTGAGACACAGAACACAGATCCCCAGAGTAAAGAACAAACGTGGACAAGAAGTGTCCCACCTTGTCTGTGGCCGCCTCATCCTTCTCCTCAGGGTTTGCGTCAGGGTTTGGTTCCACATGGAGGTTCCAGCGATCGAGCTGCACAATGTTCCCATCTTCCACGTGTGACAGGATCTTGGACAGAGGCTCATCTGTGTAACCCTAATGATATGCAGAACTTGGTGAGTGCCCATCTGCCTCCCGCAGAGGTGCCCCAGAGGTAGGGGACCTTGGGTAGGTATCCCAGAGCAAAGGATGGGGAAAAGATCAGAACAACTAATTGGGACTTTGAATTTAAGATAATATACTTTCCTTCTAAAAAATCAGCCAAATAAAAATTAAGTTTGAAATAATGATTGCTTGTATTAATGTCCTAATATCTGATATTATAATATAATTCAGAATAATTCAAATCACAGAAGAACTGCAATATCCAAATGGTGCTTATTTGTTGGTCAATAATTAGGGAAAGTCAAAACACACAGTGGTTGCAAATCCCTATCTCTGTCTCTGGAACCAGAGCTGAAGCACCCAGCCCACCCCTGTCAACAGTGGGCTCTTCAATGGAAGCAGAGGTCACTTACCCCACCCCAGTTCAGTGTCCTGGCCAAGTCATTCCCTGTCCCCAAAGGTAGGATGGCCACAGGAGGAGGTGGGTTGAGGCGTAACTGGTCGAGAATGGACAGTATCCAGCCCACCTACTCAAGCAAGAGAGCACAAAGAAAAAAAACTGGTTATTTCAGGACCAGCAAGCAGGTGAAGGTGACTCAGAGCACTAGCTATGGCCCAAGGGGAAGAGACAGGGGTCCCCTTAGCCACTACAGAGGCTATTCCATCCTTTGATGCTCTAAACGAGTGCTGGTGGAGATACCAGTAAACCTACTGGGGACAAAGTCCCCTAAAGAACCCCAAATCCACACTACAGATCTAGCATCTTCTGAAGCAGTGTATGGAGTGGGGGAGCCATAGTTGTCTGGTGTTAAGAACTCTACCACAGATACAATATCCACATTTTGCCCTGTTCTGGATCACAGCAAGGAGGGCTGCGGCCAGCACTCAACAGGCCTGGGGCAAAGAGGGCTGCAGCCTGGAAGAGTCTGGGAGACTCACCGTGCCATCTCCTCCACACGCCAGGATCCGTAGGTTGTGGACCTTCCGGTACAGCTCCAGCCTGTAAGCAGGGAGAGTGGGTCAGGAGGGGAGGGAACAAGCACTGAGGCTGCAGCCCCGAAAAGGTGTTACTCAGCGGTTGCAGGTTTTCTGGCCCTCACAGGGTCCTCAGGGAAGGTGGCATTCACAAAGCCATGCTTGCCTCTCTCTCCCCAGCACCTCAGCAATTCACAGTACTGGCTGGTCATAGTGACTTCGGGTGCACTGGCTCTTGTAGAGGGATAACAGAGTGATTTTATTCCTTGTACGCATGGATAAACTGAAGTACAGCGAGCAGACAGGACTTGCATGCCATTAATGGAACATTAGGAACCAGATTTGAGAATATCACCCCACACCTTTGCTCTTCGCCATTAGCCTTCAGATTATACCATCTCTTCCTGCAGGAAACAATGAAAGGCCAAGACTGTCCTAGAGAGTCAGGCAGGCTGTCCTAGAGAGGCCTCTCAAATCCTGAACTTGCTTTGGGTGCTTCTTTGCACAAGGAAGCTATGGAGCATCAGGCCTCTGCTAGCTGCAGGAAGAGCTCCTGGGAGGAAACTCTGGAGCAGGGATGGGGGAGAACGGGGCTGTCCCCCTCAGTACTCACGCCTCCTTGGGTCCACCCTGGCTGAGGTCGAAAACCTGCCGTGGGTTGAGATACCACATGAAGGATTGGATGATCTTTGCTCCCTAGGGGGATAAGAAAGATTTCAGGGAACAGTGAGATCCCAATGGACAGAGAAAAGAAGGTATCTGGTCTCAGAGACAGGCAGCGACAACACTGTTCTGGGGTACTTGGGCAAAGCCTGGCCTAGGTGGGAAGCGCCAGGTCACAAACTGGCATTGCTGAGGGGGCCTTGCGTCTTTTGCAACTGAGACATTTCCAAAACTATGTTGAGTTCTCAGCAGCCGGATGGCAATGCCCCAACAGAGCTGCCTTCTTGGGGAGATGCAGAACAAGGACATACCTGATTACCACCGCTCTTGGGGTTCACAAACACCAGCAAGGGCTTCATGAGAGGAGCTGGCATAGGCTTGATGACAAAGGGTTTCCACCTCCCCTCCTGCAGGAGATACCACAAGTCCATCAACAAACCTGGGGAAACGCAAACTCACACCTCCAGGTGAGCCCTAATGTCACACAAGTCAGAAGTGGGAGGTGTCAAGAGAATGTGACAGCCACCCTGTAAGCCTTAAATACTAGGACTTGCCCTGATAGAAAGCAGAACTCACCTCCCAGCCTTTTTCACCTCTGTTGCCTCCACTGAGGTCTTCAGTGGCTCCCAAAGTTTCTCCTTGCCCCAACACCCTCCCTCCACCTCGTCCCACTTAGCCCTACACCTCAGCCCAGATCCTGCAAAGCGCCCTTGCTTCCTGATCCCACTCTTTGCTGCCCAGCCCTTCTGCCCTTCCAACCCACAGTCACTCCTGTCCCCTCATCTCTGACCTCAGCCCCCTTTTTGCTGGATTTCCGCTTGAATGATGCCCTCTTCTTCTTCTTACTAGACTTCAATGGATTCTAGAGAGAGAAGAAAAAAACGAAAGAAATCCCAAAACTATGTTAGGAGCTGCTGGGCAAGGAGTCATGAATAAACCACGAGAATCAAAGTGACTTACCTGGGGCCGTCGGACCCGCACAATCCAGGTAGGAGGAACAACAACAGCAGCGTGAGCCCCTAGCGAACAGGGCTCTTCTATGTGTTGCAGCATGAAACATGACACTTTGCTGTGATACTGGGGAGGGAGAAGGGGAAGAGAGAGAAAAAACTCAGCCGCTCAGTTTGCTGGGGACCGCCACCTTTTCCTCCCCCAGGCTCCCCCAGGCCAGTGCAAAGACTGCTGTGGGAAATGATGCAGGAATTTGTAATAAGAAGGCTTCCCCTGGGAGGCCCTGAGAAGAACTTATCTCATGGGAGCTCCCAGCTACTACAGCACACCCTCTCCCAGTAAAAGGAGCTGTGAGGGCAGGCTGCAGAGAACAAGCCTGGGGAGCTCCCAGCAGAAAGTAGAGGTCATAGATACAGAGCAGATTGGTTAAGATGTTAGATGGGGCTTTGCTCACCGCTTGCTTGCACCAGGAACAGCTGATGGCTACAATCTCTTTACTGTGGAAGGCAAATTTCTGCTGGAAACCCTGTGGAGGGAAGGATAAAAGTCTTGAGGAACTTCCTCATAGCTTTCTACCATCCAACAGGACTTCTCCACTGCCAGCAGAAACATTACTGAAGAGAACATGCCTGCAGTCAGAGCTCTTTGGGTCCCTCTCAGACAGCCCCAATCATCACTAGAGCATCAGGGAGGTCACTGTGCTCTGCAGGAGTGTCCCCACTGCCCAGGGAAAGCGTGTCAGGAAGGAAGTCCTCTCCAGGGTAGACTGGACCCAGGGGAAGAACAACTCTATGCAAGAATCCCAAACCTACAGCACTTATGTACTGCTTCACTCCCTGTCCCTCTGCAAAACAGGGCACGAGTCCTGGTTTTGCTGCAGGCCCCTCCTGTCCGTCAGGAATAGCGGGATCTCTCTCATTCACAGCTCTGTTACCCTCCCTAGTCTGACCTTAGCTTTCCCTTCAGGCTGAAAAAGACGCAAGACACCCTCTCACCTTGCCACACTGCCGGCATTTCCCTTCCTGCCGTCTCCGGTGCACCCAGTGATGTCGGACAACTATTGGCTAAAGAAGAGAAAAGAAAAAAAAAAATGATGGGCCGAGTGTGAGGGAAGGCAGGGATAGGTATGAGGTACGGACACGGGCCAGCTAGAACCTCTGCTCCGGCATGAAGCACACTCTCACATGCACCAGCACCAAACTCTTCTGAGAAGGCAAAGCCAAAGAATTGGGGGCCAACAGGTGAAACGGTAGTGCTTAGAAAAAAGGGAGTAAAAAAGCTACCCAGGAAGGAGGACAGGGAAACTGAAGACTAAGAATCATTCACACAAAGCAAAGATAGCCGAGAGTGGATAAGTAGTAGTCTGGAGTGCTGTTTTGGTCATAAACCACTTCTCTGCCTCTTAACATCTCTGACCAGATGCCTCCAACGAAAGGTAAAAAATAGCGTCAATGGAAACTGCGAAAAATCCCCAGAGACACACAGTTTGCGCACACTGCAAGACCATGGAAGTGCTTGTGGCCCCAACACATATGGTGAAGCTGCAGAGCAGAAACTGCCTAGCTCTTAACAACCCTATTTCTTGGAGGAGAGAAGCAGCCCCAAAGCCCTTCACACAAACTCATCCTGCTCGTCTCCTCAGATCAAATCCTGACAGCCTGGGCCCCTGCCCGCAGGGAGAGGAACAAGCCTGCTCACAGGCACCTTCTCCCTGTCTGCGGGCATGGGAACAGCTCATTCTGGGTACAGGCTGGTACCTGACAGGGGCAAGTGTGGAGGCTGAGTAATGTGACAGGGTGACCCCTGAGCACTGTAGAGGGTAAGAAGGCTTACACTGAAGTACTGCATCTCCTGTATCCTCCTCTCTTCTTTCAGCCTTGGATCATGAATGGTGTGCGTATGGAGGGCGGAGTGACAGCAAAGATTAAAGAGGGGAGTATGAGTTCATAGCCCAGTACAGTAGGACCCAACATCTTTGCTTTTGACAGCTTTTGGACTAATGACAATAGAGGCAGAAATGGGCTGTGTCTCCCATCAAGCCTGAAGGAGATTTGGGTGAGCTCCAAAGTTGTCTGCTCTAAGTGCAGCACATCGGAGAGGGAAAAGGGCCCTGCTGGATTCAGTGGACACTAATTCAGCGGCAGCAAAAGGGGAGGCTACGCCCCGAGCTCAGCCCTACGTCCCACTAGGCACATATAAGGGAATGGATTGACCCTGAAGGGGATCCCAAGCAGCACACACTCCAGAAGAGTCCCTTTCTTGGGGAGTGACAGGGAGGAGCCCTCGGAGAAACTGAGGAGAATTAGGAAGATAGGATGGATAAGTAGCATTTGTGAGTAAAAGGAGAAAAAACAGGGAAGACGAAGTAGAGAAAGGGCTGAGGGATAGAGAACTGGTAGAAGCTGGAGAGGATGAAAACGGACACAAGAGTGAGCAGAGCCAGAGAGGCACTGACAGGAGATATCAGGAGAGTTCAGAAAGTAAGTGGAGGACAAGTAAGGGAGCTGGAGTAAGAGTGAAATTGGAAGGAAGGCTGCATGAGAGTACGTGGCGGGAGAAGCAAAGAAAGAACGAGCAGTTTTTAGTGATGTTGAAGCCTCACCTTATCACACTGGCATTTCTGAGCAAGCAGCCCAGAATTTGAGTACTCTTTCTCCTATTGTGTCTTCTGTGCCAGCACAAGTATAGTGTGGGTGCAGCTGCTGTGTTACCAAAGTGGCCCTTGACGAAGCCATCAACACCCACTCCAGAGCATTGTGTGAGCTGCTCTGGCTCCACAGGCTGGAGGGTGATCCATGAAAGGTGCTTTCATCAGAGCAGCTCAATAGACAGATCTCAGGCCGCTGCTTATGCTCGTTACATTAAAACGCGGCATAAAGGGGTCTGACAAGCACCACTGCAGACATCTTCCATTGCCACAGGGACTAATGTTGGCTGTGAGACTCCCTGCGGGTGTTCTTGGACTAGGTGTTACTGAAGCATGGCCTGCTAGCTCTGCCCTACAGCCAGCTCCTGGGGGCACTGCTGGGACCCTCCACCCCCACCTCCCAGCCTGGCTTAGAGCAGCATGGAGAGCTCCTGCTCCCTAGCACAGGCATGGGTGCTCCCACAGGAAGCCAGTGGGCGCTGCCAGATCAAAGCCCTACATGGCAGATGGGAATTCCTCAGACCCTGGCTGTATTTCACATCACAGCAGCACCAGGAAGCCCTCCAGTGCAGGTAATGCAGAGACAGTGGGGAGGGCACTGAAGAGGAAACACCTTGATGCGCTCACTGCGCACGTAAGCAGAGCAGGGATGGCCCTGGCATACGGACACAGAGCACAGTCCTGGCTGGGCTGAGGGGGACATGGAGTGGTTAGGCTGGGAAGGACACAAACACCAGATCCCAAGGATGAAGAGTTATGTTAGAATCATCTAACTGCAACTTGGAGTACCTGTGGCACTAAGGATAGGGCTGAGGGGAAGCACTAAGTCAGCCAGTATTGTCCTCTTTCAAATTGTGGCAGTCCTGGGGAACTGCTGTTTGCCATAGCATCCTTTATTTGCTTGGGTGAAAAACCTTCCCAGGAAAAACCATGTGCAGGGTTCCCCCATGCAGATACAGGAACTTTTGAACATGTGAACTGGTAGATGATCTACCTTTTGCTGCCTGTGATTTCCTCTGTCTGTGCTGCTGCCTTGCAAATAAATACTCCTTTAAAAGGCCACCTCTTTGGTGCCAGCAGGCAGCACAATGCCTGTACTTTGACGGGCAACATACTGGCACCACCTGTAGCCCCCACCACCAAGCTGGGAAGGCAAGGGAGCAAATATGGGCAGAGTCCCAGGCACATCTCTCACCTCCCGTACGTTCCGGGATCCTGACTCCCTGAAGGAAGGTTTGCAGCGGAAATTTATCTGTGGATTGAACACATATGAGAGGAATCAGCGGAACCATCACCTGAAGAAAACCTACTGGAGTTTATTTTGCTACAGCAGACCCAGAACCTCTGGAGGTGTTCAGTGATTGTCTGTGAAACTCACCACATGCTTCTCTTAGTGGAAAAAAAATGGGGTCTGGGGTCTTAATCATGTTGCTAGATACTCCTTTTGGAATCCTCTCTTCCAAGAAATCTCTTTTTGCAATGACAACAGCCAGAATCAATCATCTTGGGGTTCACTATAAATCTCAGAACAAGGGCTGGCCAGGAAAAGGCTGTTACAGCTTTGCAGGACACAGAGAGGGCTTTAACAGTCTTTACTCACTTTCTCTAGCTGTTCTATGCAGGGTGTATGCACGACAATCTTGCAGGCTGCACACTTACGCCTGGAGAGCGGTTTCTGCTGCAGGATGAGAAAAGGGGAGGAAAGATATCCTTGTGAATAGCAGTGTTCAGACCAGCAAGCTCATCCTCCCCCTACCCTTTCTTCATGTTTTTCAGGATGCAGAACAAGTCCCGTAGGAAAGTTAAATACAACCCAAACTTCTTGCAAGTAAAGGGATCTAAGTATGTGCCTCGAGGCTCTCAAGTCTGCAGCAGAGCAGGAAGGTGCTCTCCCACTGCATAATCAGTCCTTGGCCTCTTCTGACACTGCCTGAGAGCATCATGGAAGGTGGTTTGGGAGGCACTTGTGGGAAGGGGTGTGTGGGAGGCACACGCTGGAAGCCCAGTGGGCAGATACAGGACAGCATCAAGGCTTGGTGTCCAACACCTCAGGTAGGAGCCAGCCTGCAAGTAGGGAAA